AATATGGTGATGTGCATAGTATGCTTGACTCGGGGGAGACGGTTGCGGAGTATCTGAGGGATTACTTCGGCTTCAGATCCGACTTCTTGTGGGTGGTATCGGTTGTATTGATTGGATTTGTACTGCTCTTTGTTAGTGTATTCACCTATGCTACGAGGGCTCTTAACTTTCAGAAGAGATAGGCGAAGTCGAAAGTCTAATGAAGCTCTAAAAGCACATTTGCATTGTGTTGTTCATCTGGTCGGCATGGTAGTTTAATCAATTTTGTGTCGACCAGCTTGTAGATCTATGCGTTAGCTTGAGTTCTTGAGCATATATCAAGCAGGAAACTGCCGGCACTGGTTTTGTTCCAACTTCTGACTACTCTTCAGACAACATTTCCATAACAACTGCAAAATGAGCTTGCTCTCCTAAAAGATTACCATATGACGGATTCAGAAACGTGACGTAACCGATCGGTCCACTCCGATGACAGTTGCAAAGCAAATTCGATGCGCTGATTGCCTTGCTACGCGAGGGAGGGGGAGCAAGAATGAGAATTCATCTCTAGACTTTCGGCAGCCACTCCACGCCGATCTCGACTTACTCGATGAGTGCAGATATGAATAGTTTGCAATCTAGTTCTAATGCGGCTTAGCTAAGTTTGATAGAGAGATGTCAACAGAGGAACAAAATTCACCGTCGCCTCCATAAGTTGGAACTCATGAGGTGTGATCGTAGTGTATTTGGGAAGGGGCTTTCCATGATCTCTCGAGGGACCGATCCTTTGCATACCGTGCTATGGACATAATCGGATTTCACAGGATGAGTAGTTATGCATGCATTGCGGGATGTACACTGTGATCTAATTTTACAATTAGTATAGACAAATGCGGTACACACGCCATAAATCACAGCTCAATTTAGGGGGCCAAAATTTAGGTGCAAACCACATTTAGTAGGTGAGCTGTGAAATGGAAAAAACAAAGCTTTTACTCCTTAGCCATTAAAAAATACAATCTATTTGAAACATTAAAATTATTAGGCGAATTGTACCGCGCCCGTGGACAAGCACTCGATGAAGATACATAATAAGAGAGGCGATAAATAGGGGATCCGAAAAAATTTGAAATCGGCACCTCATTCTCTGATACCATATCAAATTTCATGAGACTGTTGTCAGCTGTTTTAAAACTTTAAGTTATTAGATAAATGTGTAATTTGAAAATGTAAATATTTATATACAAGTAATTCATTTTGTTTAATAACAGACTTCTCGTACATATTTAGGATTGGGATTCTCTCACTAGATCGACTAATTACCGCATCAAGATCATGCTACATCATTATCCACTCGTGTAATTCATACCTAGTTTTTTTATGATTAAGTTACAAGAGCAGATTTCTAACAACATGGGATTAAATAGATATTCCATACATAAAATTATGATAAGTGCATTCGAAATCTCAAAACTTATCACGAAAGTGCAATTGAGTCTCATAACTTTGAAAAAGTACAACTAGTCCTAAAACTTGTTAAGAAGTGCAATTGAGTCTTTAAACTTTCAAAAAGCGCAATTGAGTTCTTAGACTTGTCAAATTGATCCAAACAAGTCTTTTCATTTATTGCACTTTTTAAAAATTTTAGCACTCGATTACACTTTCATGACAAGTTTTAGGACTCGATTGCTTTTTTTGAAAGTTTTATTGCTCGATTGCACTTTTGTTACAAGTTTTGTAACTTTATTACACTTTTTGTTAGTTTTATGACTCAATTGCATATTTGTAACAAGTTTTGTGACTTATGGTACACTTATCCCTATAAACTTCAATAACATATTCGAGTGCTTCAAGCCAGAAAACGCTACTTGGGAAGGGCAGGTGAGAATGTATAGTTTCAGATGTGGAATAGGACAGATAAAAAAAAAAGCCAGAAAATGCAAGACAAAATAAAAAACAAAAATTTCCGACTTATGAAACAATTAGAAAGTGTGAATTTCTGGTGGGGTCATTTCTTTTCAGCTTTCCTTTTTTTTTTTCTTCTTTTTTTGGAATTTTCCCATTGCCAATTAACTTATTGAGGAATCTATCTCGCATCAAGAAAACACTTTGGGGGGGTTTGGACTAATCATAATATTTTTTTCTCAGCTTCCATTGGACATTGGTGCCAACAAAGTGATGATGGGGACATAGATTCAGTGGTGCGTGTGTGTGTTGAGTGGGGTCGCGATGTTGTGGGCATGCAATTAATCGGACGCATCATCGATGGAGAGGAAATCAAAAAAGGGGAAATGATGTGTTGTGTGTGAATTATGGTTTACGCTTATGTCTCATTTATTTATAAGGACATCCCCCCATCTAATATTCCCACCAAACTTGAACTTAAGCACGTAGGTTTTACGTGTGAAAGGGCATCTTCTCGCCCCCTCACGTAGTCCCACCTGAAAGTGGCGATTAAACCAAACATGGTCTACTCAATGTCATGGCCCGCTTACGTATTATCATTAACGAAATCGATTGGTTAATAACTTCGGAGGGAAATAGGGCGTGCACCGCTGATGAGTACGATGTACTGCACGAATGGAAGCGTCTCTCTTTGATTTGAGAATTATAACCACCCGCTCTCTCGAATCGACGGTGCGTGGATCGCTCCTGCCAAATTTGCTTTCCACTGAAAGGTGCATGCCGTACTGGTTCGTAGTTTTAAATAGAGAAAAGTAGTCTTGAAAGTATATTGGTATCAGATTGGTCAATTTTCTTTTTTTTCCTTTTGGGTTACTACCATTAAAAATCCCAATTAACATATCCATGAAATATTTACCTGGTTTTTTTTCCCTCACAAAACGATACCCTTGATCCAAATCTACCATTCCTTAGCATTCTGTCTAGTATTCCGTTAAAATGCTCGCATATCGATACACGACGACTTTTCGTATCATATTTATTTTGTAGTCGTCTCTTGTGTGTATTAACATATGGGCATTTCAACTGGATATCGGAATGAATCCTAAGATCTAGATTAGACGTACTAGTTTGAGATTTTTTGCGAAATGAAAATTAACTTGGGGAAATGTGTCATGGAAGTTCGGTTTGAAACGTTCAATGGAATCCAACCACCTTCTTCTACATATGCACCGTTTACGAACGGCATTTCATGAGAAGAAAGAAATGATAGGGGGACATAATTTGCTTCAAGTGAAAGTCACCCCAACATGCCAATTGTTCCTAACAATCAAAAGGGTAAATTCCCATGAACGATGCATTGCACAAAAAGGGAAGAAAAGGGCCTAAAAGCATGAAGATGAAGCAAAAAAATGAAAGCCAGATGGGAAGTGATGCTTTGGCTACAATGAGATGCTTTCGGTGCGCCAAACTCCTCTAATTGTGCGTGCCTTTCCCAAAGAGGCACGTCCCCCAATAAGCCCACCACCGTAAAGTTTGACCACAGTCTGTCCATTTCTTAAGAGTTAATTCTTTCGTAAGCTTTTTTTACCAATTGAAAGTGATAAAACGTCAAATAAAACAAGAATTAATACCACGAAAAACTTCAAATTAGTATATATATGATAGATTTATCCCGAATTAATTTTTTGACCACAAAAAATCTCAAACTGGTATACATGTGATAAATTTACTATAAATTAATTTTTTGACAATCAAAAACCCAAAACCGGTACGCTTGTAACAAAGTTACCCTCTATAAAATTAGATTAATACTACGAAAAATTACAAGCTAATAAACTCGCGATAAAACGAGAGGTAAAACCCCAAACTAGTACAATCGTCAACTGTTACGTGTCATCCGATTCAGCAATTTGAAGGTAAAATTTAACGGAAACTAATAAAGGATAAATTTTTCACAGATATTTCAGTTTGGAATTCTTGATGGTCAAAAAATTAATTTGGGATAAATTTATTATAAGTGTATCAGTTTGGAGTTTTTCGTGATATTAACCTATAAATCAAGAATTAATCAACATAGTAGGGTCAAAAGTTGTTCCCCATTTATAAGAGGAAGAAAAGGGGTGGACCTAGACCCGGACAGGCTGTTTCCCATATCTCTCTCCCATTCCTCACCACAAAATAGGAAAAAAGAGGAACTTTCTCTTTTTTTTTAACCCTTTTTTTCTATTTGAGTCCTCACATTCTTATTTTATCTCGTCATTTTCGCAAGTTTTTTAATCAAATCCGTCCGACATTATATTCCGGATTCAGCTAACATGACCCCAAAGTTTGATGCTGATAAAATATTTGGATGCCCACGTGGACGTGTGTGGAAAAAGTTTAGCCATCGAAGGCCACATCAAAGGATGATGTAGATAAAATTCAATCAATGCATACACCCACATGGACATCCGGATGGGAAAGGTTTTTATCAGATGGAAAAAATTTTATTGGAAAATATTTTATCCACGTCACACCACCACGTCTCTCCGACGGCCATGTAAGTCGGGATTCGACCGGATTTGCGGTCAAACAAAGTAACTTCATTAAAAAATTGTCAAATAAAATGACTTGATTAGACGAACTAAAAGTAAATGAACATGACTAGAAAATGTGTGAAAATTTTACATGGACAAAAAGTATAAATTTTTTTCTCCAAAAAAAAAAAGCTTATTTTTAGTGCTATTATGTACGTCTAAATGGCCTGCCTTGTCGTCCTCTTTTCTTTTTGCCATTAAACAAAATGGCCTGCATTGAAACATTCCTTTATTTTATATTGGCCTTCAAAGCTCCCCAGTTGTCAAACACTTCGCAATCGAACGCAATAATGTCCAAATCTGATGCTTCCAATATATTAAATTATCCATTAATCAAAAAGCGTCGCATATTGGCCGACCTCACGCAGGTCCATCGGGAAAACGAGAATAAATCCAACAATTTTGGCCATTTTTAAGGTGACTACATAACAGAAGATGAGCAATTTTAGGTGAATTTTTTTCAACGACCCAGTTGGTTCAAATGCACGAGGAACACTACAAAATAAAGCTGGAAAAAGAAAAGAAAAGAAAGAGAAGATGCACATGAAGAAGAGAAGAAAATCCGTGAGGTAGAGTTGAGAGACAGTGGTACATTGATATGTGAAGTAATGATAAAGAAAAGAATTTAAATAAACCCAACTACACGCACCAAAGTGGTCACTTGTCAAATTCCAATAAGGTCATGGAACTCCCCAAATGAAACTCCAACTTGCCCCACCCCCTAAGAATCAAATTCACAACCCCCACCAGGCAAAAAATATGAAAGACCCCTTGCAGATTTCTTCAAGAACAGGAGGAAGAAATTTCAAAGAGAAGAAAGAAAAAAATTGACCCTTCTATCAGGTTGAAATGGAAATTGGATGGACACTTGAGAATCTGTTATTTACTCACCCTGTGCACGTTTCTGAGAATGACCCATCTCAATGAATCGCAAGAATGTTCTTGAAGCTCCGAGCTTTAAGGCGTGATGCCTATGGGCGGCGTCCTCGACTCCATGGGCGGAGTCTGACCATCCGATCCCTTGGAGGGGTCGTCCGAGGACTGCCTCAACCCTTCGTCCGTCTCGCCCCGATTCATTTCCTCCATCATCCGGACCACCTCCACCATGGGGGGTCTCTGGTCGGGCGCGACCGCGACGCAGGACATGGCGATCTGCAGCAGCTGCACCATCTCCTCCTCGATGTTGTGGTACCTCATGAGCTCCACGTCGAAGACCTCGGCCGTCCATTCTTCGCGCACGACCGACTGGACCCACCTGGGCAGGTCGATGCCCTCATCCCCGAGGGAGGCCTGATTGGGCGCTTTGCCCGTCAACAGCTCGAGCAACAAGACCCCGAAGCTGTACACGTCGGATTGGAACGTGACCTTCCGGGTCTCCACGACCTCGGGGGCCCGGTAACCAGCGACCCGATTGGGTGGGGTCGCGGTGCCAAACAGAGGATTCAGTCCAAAATCCGACACGCAGGCATTGTGGTCGGGTCGGAGCAGGATATTGGAGGACTTGATGTTGCCGTGGACCACCTTGCCCGCAGCGTGAAGGTGTGCTAGGCCTCTCCCAGTGGCGATTGCGATCTTAAGCCGGTTCTCCCAGTCCAGCGGCGTACGCCCCGATCCTCTACTGCCTGCAATGTGATGCGATGCGATTAGTAGAGGAGTTTCCTAGTTTACCATGCCCAGCAAATTTCTTGGCCCCAGTAACATTCCAATCGTGCTTCACAATATAAGGATCTTTTCAATGTGGATCTTAGAGCACCCCCATAAATCTCATGGGAGATGGTAGCATCCCATCTCTGAAAGAACAGACATTAATTTTGAGAATCACAAGGAAATTGGACTCAGAAAATTTACTTTCATTTCAACTCAAAGACGTATGTGAGCATTATCTGTCATAACTTAACCAGTGCAATAAGAGTCTTCTTCTCTGGCAAAGCAGACCCTGGACCAAAGTACCCAAGTTGTATAATGCCAAGCTCTTCCCACACCTTTACTTTTGGCAATTCAAGAGAAAATTGGGTAAGGACAAACAGGGAAAAATGAGGCCTTGGCAATGTGGGTTCGAGGGAGAAAGAGTAAAGGAGACGACACTTCCCTATCAAGGGCCAAAAAAAGGAGGGAAGGAGCGCATGTGGTCTTCATCATCTAGGGCGCAGAAAAAGTTAAGCCCCAGAAAAAGATGTCGGGACACCACACAGAATCATGAGGGCTCATGTTGCTGTGTCAGTGGCATCGCAGTAAATTCGCAGCCCCCACCCCACCCCACCCCCCGCCTAACGTGCGCCGGGGTGCGTAGCTTCCACTCAAAGAATGTTTGCGCAAAAGAAGGAATTCTTTTTTGTTGTCTCAACAGAGCATCTGTTCTCTTCTCGCAACGCCATCTGAGGCGCATCGCGGTGCAAATCCTCTCCAGCTACTTCTACGGTGCAGGTTCGCGTTCGCCCCCCCTCCCACGGTACTGGCTTTAATTACCATAATGCCCTCAACAGCCCGGCATTCAACGACCGCGGTCATATGTAAGACTAGAGAAAAAAAACGATTCAGACAATAAATACTAAAGAAACTCCCATGGTCCATGGCCAGAACTGCTCAGGGCATCAGCAGGGTCAAAACACAGCGCTAGACACCAAATCGGTCACTGTCCAAGAAAATGATGTGGAATATTTACCGCAAAAAAAAACACTGACCCTAAAGACAAACCGTAACTGCCCGGAAGAGAAAAATCTCGTGTACCCTCCATTTCCATGGCCAATCCTGAAGCTCAGTTTCCACCCAGAAAGATTCAAGCTCATGCCCAGATCGAATTCCGTATTCGAAATTCAGAATTGCGGGTCCAGGAAAGATTAAAACTTTAATTGAGAACAAGAATGCGCAAAGAACAAGAACGAGAGCAAGAGAGCATTACCATGAAGTAGAGCAGACAAGCTACCGGCGGCCATGTAGTCATAGACCAGCAACTTCTCGTCCTTGGAGTAGTAGAAGGCTCGCAGGGGGACCACATTCTCGTGCTTCACCTTCCCGAGCACCTCCATTTGCGCCTCGAACTCCTTCTTGCTCGCCACCACGTCCTTCAGCCTCTTCACCACCACGGTCGTGCCTTCCTCGAGCACCGCCTTGTACGACGTCCCCACGCTGCCCTTCCCCAGGACCTCCGCCGACGCTCGCAGCAGGTCCTCCAGGTCGAAGCTGTAGACCCCGCCTTCCAAGAACACCAGCTTGTTCCTCTCCGCCTCCACCGAGCCCCCCGTGATGTCGTCCTTCGACGACGACGTCCCTGCCTCTGCGGCCGCGGACCTCGGCGGCCCGGCCGCCCCCACGTGCTTCGGCGGCTTCGGCGTCCGCCGGCGCCCACGCCGGCGGAGGCACAGCACCAGGAGGAGCAGAATCAAGAATCCGATTAGGGCGGAGCCGACCGCAATCGCGACGATTGCGGCGGTGGAGAGCTTCTTCTTGGACTTCTTAGCAATGGGGATCGGGGAAGGCGGGATCGGAGACGGAGCAGGAGAGGGGAAGAACGGGTTGCAGGGCTTGAGGGGACCGCCGCAGAGGTCGAGGTTACCGGCGAAGGCAGACGCGTCGAACCTCGCGAGGGAGGTCGGGATCGAGCCGTTGAGGCGGTTGTAGGAGACGTTGAAGTAGGCGAGGCCGCTGGCGTCGATGCTGGGGAGGCTGCCGGAGAATTGGTTGTTCTGGAGGAAGAGGTGCGTCAGGCGGGTCAAATTGTTGACCGCGAAGGGGATTTGCCCGGAGAAGTTGTTGAAGGAGAGGTCGAGTCGGATCAGCCGAGTCAGCTGAGTCAGGCCCGGCGGGAAGTCGCCGGCGAACTCGTTGCCCTGGAGGTAGAGGCTCCGCAGGAGGGTCAGGTTGGCGAAGTCCGAGGGGACCGGGCCGGAGAGCCCGTTGAACCGGAGGCTGAGGACCTGGAGCTGGGACAGCCGGCCGATGGTGCCCGGCGGGATCGCACCGACGAGGCCGACGGCGGGGAGGCGGAGCTCGAGGACGGACGAGTTGGTGCCGTCGCACGTGACCCCGAACCAGCCGCAGGCGGGGGCGGAGGCGCTCCACTGGACGCGGTTGGCGTGCGGGGTCTGCCGGATGAAATCGAGGAGGGCCTGCTTGTCCCGGGTCGGCTCCGACCCGGCCCGAGAGCTCAGCGCCGACGCGACCGCCAGGAGGAAGACGAAGAGGGTCGGCCCGGAGGCAAGCGACACCCCCATTGCAGAGACAGGGACAGGGACAGGGACAGAGACAGAGACAGAGACAGAGAGAGAGAGCGCGCGCGGGGAAAACGACGGGGTTTCAGCGCGCTTCGAGCCTGCTGCGGATCGATTTGCGGTTGAGGGGCCGAGGAGGGGCTCCGAGGTGGGAAGCCATGGATGGAGGAGGGAGAGAGAGAGAGAGAGAGAGAGAACAGGGGTTACGGGAGGGGAAGCGAGGGGAAATGTAGAGAGAGAAAAGAGGGGTTAAGGGGGGAGGGGGGGGGGAGCGAGGGGAAAATGCTAGAGAGAGAAAACAGGGGTTAGGGGGAGTGAGGGAAGGAGAGTGTTAACTTTTGAAAGGGGGAGGGGGGCGACAGAGAGAGAGAGAGGAGAGAATCACGAGGCCCAAAAAGCGGAGTGGGGAGAAAGAAAAACAGCAGCGGCAGGTCCTTCCTTAGCTGGCAAATACCCCGACTTTTTTCGTCCTTTGACCCTTTTTCCCCCCCCCCCCCCCCTCTCTTAATACCAAAAAGAGGGAAAAAGAAGAAGAAGGAGCAGCAGCAGCAGCAGCAGCAGCGTATGTCGCGGATGGCGATGATGGGATGCGTATGTTTTGTGTTCGCGTCCTCCTCCCACTCGCGTACGTCGTGGGCGTTTTGGGGGAAGATCGGCCACTCTTGTTTTAGGTAATAAATAATCGAGTAAAGCGAAGTCTCCTCTTGTTAACAAGTAGCAAGTAAACTACGGAAAACCCAAACAAAAAAAAATATTAATCCCACAAAAAACCTCAACATAATATAATTGCGGTAAATTTACTCTTCATTAGTTTCCGTTAAATTTTACTGTTAAATTGCTGAGTTGGATGTCAGGTGAGATAATTAATGGGTATATCAGTTTGAGGTTACAGATGTATCGATTTATAATTTTTCGTGGTATTAATCTAATTTAACGGAAACTAATCAAGGATAAATTTATCACAAATGTACCAGTTTGAGGTTTTTTGTGGTAAAAAATTGGTTTGGGGTAAATTTGTCGTAAGTATATCGGTTTGGGATTTTTGACGATTAATAAATTAGTTTGGAGTAAATTTATCAAATGTATACCAGTTTAGGGTTTTTCGTGATATTAACGAAAAAAAATAAGTAAAAAGTACCTACCACATACTTCTTAGAAAATAACATGTTTTAAAAAGAAAAAAATATTGATTCTAACATTTGCCGCCAGAGTAAAAAAAATTATAAGCGATCTCATACATTATCGATTCAAGAGAGCGAGTAATTGTGATATTTTATTTCTATTTTTCATGGATGTTGGTAATTCTAATAACTAAAAGTTCTTAAACTGCGAGGCTTGGTAATGGAAGTAGAACACCTCTAGAATTAAGTAGGAGAAAGTTTCGACGATTAAATTGTTCTAGAAATGAGATGCTTCGACCAACAAGATAATGACCGTGGCCCATGGTGAGCGCCATTGGGATACTTATGCATTACTAGGTTAGGGCACGAATTATGAGCTTTTTTAGATTGGATGGCAAAAAGTGCGATCAAAATTGACTATTCATAACTTCAAATTTTCTTTCTTGGTGCTTCCTTTTCCTTTTTTAATCTTTTTATGATGTGATACTCGAAAAAATTAATCATGTCATATCAAATCGGTGTAAAAAGAAGAAGCACTTCAATTAATAATGACTTTTGATAGGACCCTAATGGAGGATAAATGTGTAACTTGGACATAAGTTTGGGTTTTTTGGTGTTTCGGAAAAAAAGTTTGGGTTAAATGTGTTATAATGAGCATAGTTTGGAGTATTTGGCGACTGCTTCACTTATAACTTTCTAGTAAATCTCCACACGTTTTTTCACTATCTTCACCCATGTAAAAGAGTTCCTACATTTCATTGGCAATTTATCATTGGAATAGAAATCAAAGAAGGAATTGACCTAGAATGATACTATGAATACATTTAAGGTGCGTTTGTTTCGTGGAGAATTGGTGATTTGGAAAACATTTTCCGAAAAATGATTGCTTATATGATTTAGAAGAATTAGTCAACGGAAAATGTTTTCATCATTGATTACAATCTATGCCTAACTATTTTCGTGGGCGATGAAAAAAATTTTCATTCATTTATTTTTGTAAGCGATACAAGCGATTGTTTTCCAAATCACTTATTTTCCACAAAACGAACGTACCCTTAGTAGCTTATTTTATCTTTCACTATCTACGGTTATATTCGCATTTCTTCTTAATAAGGTATTGACTTAGACGGCAAGAGAGAATTACCCTTTTCCTTGTATTCTTGGATTCAAGTCTCGTTGGGAGTACGATATGAATGAAATTTTGAATACACTAGGCCGATAAAGGGGGAGCGCGCCTTTAAAATTACTTGAGGAGGTGGAACAATCGAGGCACGCAAATCTAACCTAGACGCCGTCTCATTGCTAATGAAAAAATGTAAATTTATTACAACTTATATTGAATTGATTCTAACTAATACTTTCCAACTCCAAGATAGATAGAGAGAATTTGGATGACTTTTTCATTTAACTTGTCCTTTAATTAGTTCCATTTCGGTGTAAAAAACAATTTGCAAACTCATCACTGGATGGTTGATATGTGAAAGAATTCGATTACAAAATTAACTTCAAATATATATGTCGCCCAAATAACGGTGAATGTGCGGAAAGACTTCTCCTTGATTGCTTAATTTTACTTGTTTTTCAATATCTATATGTCCTAAATAATTGATGCAAAAGCACGACCACAAATTTATAAAAGTACATTTATCGGGATTTCCGAAATGAAATGTACTCTTGTCCCAACTATTAAGGTAGGATTCTTGTCCCGCGTCGAGATTCCCCCTCCCTAATATCGCGGACCCAATCGAGGTAAGACAAATCTTCCGACCCTTTGCACTTCAAGAAAACCGCAGTTTTCGTTTTCAATTTCACGTTCGCTATTCACGGCATGTCGCATGGACAGTGATTCGTCCTAAAATCTTGATTTCTTGTTGTTTCTTTACCTGTTTCTAATGTCGCTCCAAGATAACTTACATAATAAGAAATTAAACAAGAAGCTCTATCCATTTGTCGCTAGGGGATAACAACATGGGAATACTACCGAGTTCGTGGGGACGTCGTTTGGTCCAACTGTCCATCACATTCGCAACTTGGTCAAAGTTAAAAGAATATCATTTTTTTTTATCATTATATTTGGCCTAGAACAATTAGCTCCAATTATGCAAGAATCCACGCTAAAAAAGGAGCCAAAAAAAAAATTCTCGAGAAAACTTGTTCGAAAAGTCCTAAACCTATCGTACCGATACCAATTCAGTTCTGAACCTTTTAATTGTGCCAATATAGTCATAAATCTTATTGACGATTACCAATTTAGTCCTAAACCTTATTAACAATTTGCCAATATAGTCTTTCGGGCTACTAAATGGACAAATCTTCAAAAGGTCTAGGAAGGTTTAGGACTCAATTGGCAAATCGTTAAAAATGTTTATAACTAAATCGGCACAATTTAAAGTTTGGGACTGAATTTGCCGTCGTACGGTAGGTTTGATTTTTTGGACAATTAAACCATAATTTCTTGGGTTGTAAATTTTTCTCAGCAATTTTTTTCTGGGCATGTCAACGAGGTTTTTTCGAATGATGTGGTTCAATACTCTCCTCACGTTGCCCGGTCGTATACGAAGGAACTGCAGTGTCTCCAAATGTATAGGCTGCGTCTCTTTACCGCGTGCACGGTATCTAATACTTGTTAATCGTGCAGGCCATTCCCTTGAACGATTCTTAAGAACAAGGTTAGGATATGCAAATGTCACACATGAATAGAGAGAGAGGAATATTTTGCATTTGCGCTCGAGTTAATTACTTAATATTCGGTAGAGAAAGAACTACGTCAGATTGGATACGAGATATATTTCAGTGGGAATTTTCCTTTTTTTTTTGTGCAATCCCTGGCAATAATTTGATTTGCTTGTTTTGTTTAGGTCGGAAAATTTGTCAGGTTCGAAAACGTACGGAGCCACAAGGATCCTGATTTCATGACGCGAATCTTGTTTTTCAAATCGTTTATATTGTTGAAGTATTGTTTCGCATCGCTTGACAACGGGTCCTATATGCTCTTTATATTCTTATAGTCTCCCTCCACCTATCGGCTTAAAACTTTTGGGTTGGACTACTTAACATGGTCTTAGAGCCGATAGTATTTCTTTCGCGAATGTGCGTCCAATCCCATTAGTCAAATTACACGTGCCAGGTCCCATATGCTCCCTCCACTAATCAGTTTAAGTTTTTTGGTCGGACTTTCTAGCGCGTATTATTCTAAATTAAGATTAAGTTAATGCACCAAATGAACACCTCTAACCATCCATACTCGTATCCCATTGTTCTCATCTGCCGAAAATCTGCTACCCATGTGTTAGGAGATTGTTTATTCCAGTATTAAATGAAAGCATCCTTGACAAGGCAAATAGAAAAAAAAAAGTTACCAAATTAAAAAATCATCAGAAAGCAATTAGTCTACTATGAAGCCACCCAAAATTTGTTGCTGAAGGAACCTTTTTCCTACCTAAACGGACCCAACTGTATGATGAGGCAAAGGAATTCGAATCTAAGTTGGGTACAGGGTTAGTTGACAAATGTTTGTCTTGTGATATGATTATTGACGAATTAATAAACTTAAAAATAATGGAAGACGGAAAGCAAATTTTCTAGTTAGAATAAAAAAATATATATATCACAGCAATCGTTGACTGGACAACGATAAGTTCAACAAGAGAAGGTTTATAGATTAAGGTAATTAAGCTATCACATATTGACGAGGAAAAGTATCATAAAAGTTCTAAACTTATTGTATTAGTATTAATTTAGTCTTAAATATTCAATTGGACCAATTTAACCTTAAACCTTTTTGAATTTATATCAATTGAGTCTATCCTGCTAATTTTGACAAAAAATTGCTGACATGGACGCCGACTGTCACACAATCAATGCTAACAGGATAATTTTTTATTACTTTCTTTTTTTTTCCCAACTTTGGGCTGGCGAGGGCTTTTGCGACCGACACCCTCACCTAATGGGTGAGGGCCGCAATGCCTCGCTTGGATCCTGGCTAGGGTGCGAAGGCCCTCACCCTCGCTTGTTGCCCGGCGAGGGCCTCCGCGC